TTGGACAGAGAACCTTCTTGCTACCTGTAATGTAGCTAAATTTTGTGTAGTAACAATAAAAAAGTAACAAGAGGCACCATACACAGTACAAGGTCATTTAGAAATATTTGAAATAAAGGAGAAGAAGAAAATAGCAATACTTTGGGTTTTTTTGCTCTAGACTGTCTGCTATTGTTCACCTGACCTCACCTTTGCCACCATACAGCAGTGTGGATAAACCTCTAGAATGAGAGGTTGCACATTTTAAACTGCTTCCCCCAGATGCCCACTGACCCTGCCTCTTACTCTGGTTCATCTTCCAGGGGGAACCTCACCTGGCATCCTGCCCCTAACCATAGACTGTGTGAGTGATTTTGTATATCTCTTGTGAGATTGGTTTCTCTCTCAATGGAGGAAAGAAATGCTGAAACATTTAGCTATAGGAGCTGTATACTGCAAGGCCCAGAGGTTGAATTATGGAAATTTCATTTTTTTCCAGTTTTATCTCTCATTCATCAGAACGGCAAGACAGTTTATGGAAGTCCTATCTCACACACAGTAACTCAAAAAAGTGTATTTGGAGCTTCATTTAGACAAAATACACACAACATTCCAGGCATTCCACAAGATGGTTCTGGCTTGTTATAATTGGTGAGACAGATTTTCAGCTCATAAGTTAATATGAAGAATGTTTAAAAATGGGAAACGGTCTGAAGTTACATGGAATGTTTTACTTGTATGAAGAATTAGGAGTAAGAGTCAATACAAACACAAAAGGACAAAATAAATTAAAGTTTAACACAATCTCTAGGCAGAGGAGTTACCTATTCCTTAGAAATAGCCTGAATCCTGAAGCAAAATCCTCTACCTGTTTGTCCCTGGACCTCCCACAGCCTTGGGAGACAATTCCAACTATTTATCAGGGTTGTTGGAGAGAGAACACAATAATACATTGTTTCATTTTCCTGAGTTCTGCATTGGTCTTCAACGAGTTTGAATCTATGATAAACAAGAGTCAGCTAAATCAAGGTTTTACTCCATGTGCTTCTTTCACAGATTGAATTACAGGTCATTCCTTCCAGAGAAATGCTGGTATGTACTATCGCTTATTGGCAAGATGCCACCCTGCCAGTGCATCCATAAGAGTAGATATCAACTGGCCACTCCAAAACACCGATGGGGAATAATGTTAATTTTAAAATGTTTTCAACTCTGAAAGAGTTTGGATAGTTTCTGTACTACCTGAGAACTTCTTTGTGATATCTTATGTTCATTCTATTGCCTCCTATTTTGCTGTCATTGCATCAAAGCCACTAAGTAACCAAAAAATTCCTTGTGATTTTGCTTCATTCTGTAGAATCAAGTGATGGATTAATCCTAACCTATAGTCTCCACACCATGGGTCCTATGTTTTGCAACATTCGCAGGAAGGAATCAGTAAGCCACTCCTCCTAAATGAATGGAAATTCATTCTATTCATAAAGGAGGCTCTTTGTACCAAAGTCATAAAGTAGGAATCCTTTTAGCCTTTAAAAGAGGAAATGCAATGATACTAGAAACCAAAGTATTTCATGAGTTGACATATGGAAGGAATCACCAGCAGAGAACTGATTCCTAAGGAAGCATCTAATCTGAGATAAACTGTAAGTTGCTTATCTCATATCTTCTCTCTTCTTGGCTTCCCAAAGACCTGTAATTTCCAGGACCTCTCAGTAGTTCCCTGCCCATCCACCTCCACAAATAAATAGCTTAGAGCTATTCATGCAAAATCTCCCAATACTGTTCAAATCATAGGCAACTTAGTATCTTAGAGTTACAGTCTACATACGCAGTGAAATATAGCCTGTAATGCAGAAAATTAATCTTTATATTTTTATTGTCCATATATATGATGTCACTGAGTGACATCATATATAACTTCACACTTATTGAAAGGACAGCCCTACAAGCCAAAACAGACAACAATACAAGTGCAAGAGACCAAATTTAGTAATGCCATTGGCTTTTCATTAGGGGTACATAGGGACAGGAATAACTCCCTGCTGTTGCAATCTTCGGAGTCACTAGCTCAAATTAAAATGGGACAAAAGGATCTGCAAGGCAGAAGCTCCTTTTGAAGCAAACCCACGATGGGCAAGTTCCCTTTGGCAAGAGGGACATTTTTTTAAAAAAGAAATTATATAGCCTTCAAGGGTCTCCATGGCTGGTGCTATTAGAACATAACTGAAATAAGCAGAGACCAATTTTTCATCTTTTGGGGAAAGGGACTAGCGGCTTTTAATCCTCTATGGGAAAAGCAGCCTGACTGGAGTAGAATTTACGGCTCTTTAGGGAACCAGCTGAATGCCTTAGGCCTCTTAATCGCCTCAAATTGCTACAATTTTGGCAATGCTCATTCTTGAAAAGCTGAGGGTCTCTAAGGATTACAAAAGAAAGATGGAGTATATCAGTGGCTGTAGGGCCTACCTCTGAACTAAGGAACTTTTTTTTCTGACCACACCCTTCTCCCAATAATACCACAAGCATTAATAAAATGGTCCTCGACACCTGTTGAATGTTTATATGTATGCTACATAATTGCATGCTAATTCTAATTATATAATTCGATATAAATTTCCATAAACAAGTCAAGAGGTATCACTCATAATGGATCTAATGAAGACCGATCCACACAAATGCAATTGTACAAATAATTTGAAACTTATACTGGAAGAATATACCACATTATGAGATGTCAATTACACAGTCAACTGACAGGTCAAAGCATTAAGGATAGCAAAGGAGGAGGAGGGGGGGAGGGGGAGGAGGAGGAGGAATTCTTAACATGAATACTGTATTTTCCTTCTTATTGCCTCTATTGAAAAGTTTTGAAAGGTCTCAGTAAAGTTCATAGTTTTGGTCTGTCAATCATTTTACTTCTTAAAGAGAAATAATTACACTTTTTGGGTAATTATGAGCAATAATTAAACCAAATATGGTGGTAGAATCTCAATCAGAAGTGTAACTAGCAATTGCTCTAGTTCTAGGGTAGAGTGCAGCAGTGCCCTCCTGGCAGGTATAGATCTCAGATTTCAATCTGCTGTCCATCTTCCTGCTTGCTCTTTGTTTTTTTGCAAATAGCATAGAACAATGGAGTTCTTACACCGTCCATTTTTCCATAGCAGCATTCCTGTCTTACAAATTAAATCAAAAGCTCTGTAAGGATATCTGAGAAAATAATCCAATTAAGTTTTCATGGCTTTCTTCTCCAACAGGTCTCAAGAAGTCCTTCACTAACCCCCACAAATACCTACAAATAAGAACAATATAATAAGGGAAAGGCATATTTATAACTAAAGATTATTATTACAAGTACTTGACAGTTATCTTCCCCAACTGGTTCCTATTCTGATGTGTTATACTGCAAGTCCTATCATTTCCAGCAAAATGGCTACGTCAGGACAGAATCAGTCTGGCACAGTTGGCCACCATTATTCCCCTTTCTCTACATCCCCATACCTGAAAAATACCTTCCCCCCTCCCCGGATTTCACTGTCTTCTCTCTTCAAAATGATTTAACGCTAGTTCGGTTGTGACAGACACAGATATTCTAATGAAGATGGCATATTATAGAAATAATGAATAATATTTCTTTTGATGGTTTGCCAATAGGCTGTCTTATCTACAACAGCTCTTGGATTAGATGTTATGAGATCCTAATGAAAACTATTCTGGACTGTCCAAGGGAAGATACAGGTTTAAGCTATAGTGTAAGAATAATATTCCAACTCGTGTATGTGGATTTTGTACAAGCCTTGGCCCCTTCCTTAACTGCCACTAATTTTTCTTAAGTTCAAATTAAGCTTGGTGATCTTATGTTTAGAAAACGTGGGACTGGAAAAGAGCAAATCAGGGAGGGGGAATCAACATATGGGAAAAATATAGAAAAAACAAATTTTATTTGTGTTTCGATTTGACCACACCCACACTCTTTCTCTTGCTTTCCCCATGTGGATTCAGGTGCATTCAGGAGTGTCCACAGGAGGGTCTCAAAAGTCCACATAGGAAGCATGACCATATGACTGAAGCCCCTCCCCTTTTCTACATGCATGTCACTACCTCTGCCAAATAACATTTTGATATCTACCACCACCACAGATGTCCCTGGATACATTATGCAATACCTACATATGATTCTTCCAAAACAAGACTATGGGCCCATGCCCTAAGTGGACTGCCATGAAGAATCCTGAATTAGCACTTTGCATTTTAAAATTTTATAATATTTTATTATTTTATTTGACTGTAGTTCATTCTTATGCTGGTTTCTTACTCACCATTTGGAATGAACTCGATCCAGAAAGGAAAATAATAAATATTCCAATAAAGTAAGTTTTAAATAAATAAAATACATTAAAGACATACAATTGGATGCTGTCCCAGAGTTCTGCCTCCAAGACACATGTGGATTCTCCCTTCTCCCTGTCTTTCAGAGTCCCTCATCTGTTAGTGTTTCTGAACCTCAACAACTTTAAGACATGTAGACTTCAACTCCAGAATTCCCCATGTTAACTGGGGAATTCTGGGAGTTGAAGCCCAC